GTTATGTGGTCAACGAGGGAAGGGAGTCAGATGGAGGGGGGGGGTGGGATGTGTTTGCAAACTGGGTGGGATAGGAAGAGAGAGGGGGTTCGGGCAGAGTAGCCCCTGAGGATGACCAGGAAGTGTAGGAGGGGTGTCTGAGTTCCCTGTCCCGTGCTGCTGCAGGGGTCAGAAACTCACTCACCCCAGTGATGTCTCTCCTGGTGCCTGGACCGGATCTCCTTGCTGCTTGGGTGTCTCGTAAACAAAGGCATTTTCTAAAAATCTTAAATTTTCTATTAATAATTTTCCTTACAAATAGTGAATGAATTAATTTTGTGGAATTCTTGAAATTGTATTCAATATTTTTTTTGAAAAAAACATGCAGGATATTCTAGCTGATTTCATATGGTGTTTCTAAAGAAACGACATCTTACAGACATACATAGTTAATTCTAAAAGTTATAGCATCTAGCTATGTATCTGTCTAATTTGAAGAGAATGTTATTATAACAGTATTTTTTTTCCTGTGAGGATCATGCACATATTCCCATGTATCAAAACCAAAACAAACAAAGAAACAGACAAAAAATACAAAATTTCATTAGGCCTTCTTCTGGAAATCCAGCAATATGTTTCAAACCTGCAATATATGTAAAGAAACAATTTTTAATGGAAGAACGTGAGACTTTCATAAGAAATGCAGAGTCACCCATGCATTATTTCCCCACAGAAAATATATGGAATCATAAGCATGGTGGAAGGAATTCTCTCACATTGTCTGATCAGAATATATATTGATTTACTATATTTGCTTCATTTAAGCTCCTCAGTTACATAAATCGTTTTTACATAGACACACAAATTGTGTGCAAATATGAAGAATATTATATATTAAGAAATATTTATGTGGTTATATAGAGTAGTTACTTTTCTTCCTTAAATAAAAATGAAGTATTTCCAATTGACTCATTAATTTGTTTTTTAAAACATTTTAAATACTACTAAGTATTCCATAACTCGCTCAACTGATGCAGAATCTGTTGAAGTGTGCTGTCTACTGTCTTGTTCCTCATAGTTGCCTAGCCAAAATTATAAGTACCCTAGGACCACCAACACAGGGTTACATCATACACAGTTTGATGGATACTCCCCCATCAATCAATAATTAAGACAATGCCTTATAGGATTCCTACAGCAATTTCTTATGATGGTATTTTTCAATTGAATATTCATTTTCTTGTGACTCTAGACTGTGTCAGGTTGAGACTAAATAAGACAGCACATGCATAGTAATGTTGGGCCAGTGACAGGGACACTACCTGTGATACACAATGAAAAATATCCAGTGCTCTCCAACACCCTTTCATGCCTTCAATATCAGCACCACCTGGGTAGCATGTATATTCCCACATTCAGCTACTAGCATGATGTACAACGTTGGTGACCTCTAGAACACAGCTTCTGTGTACTAATGCTCAGGATACACTTGCTTGAAGACATCATCTCAATGATGCTAGACTGTTCTTAATCACAGCTGATTCTTCAGCCTCATCTGACTAGCATACACTGTTCCATCAAATCAATTTTTTTTTCTCAAGACAGTATTTCTTCATGTACCCATTGATATTCTGGAACTCATTCTGTAGAGCCATCTAGCCTCAAATTCAGAGACTCACGTGCATCTGCTACCCAAATACTAGGATTAAAGTTATTCACCACCACTGCCCAGCTAAATATATAGGCTAGGCTAGCCTTGAACTCATGATCTGCCTGCCTCCACTTCCTTCAGCAAATCAAACTGGTCTTTGGCCAACACAAGTGTTCCAATGCAAATGTTTTTCTTTATTATTAGTTGGTTCTGGTCTGTCATTAGTAGCCGGTGATTATTCAGCTCCAGCTGACCAGACAGCACAGGTTCTACACACAAATGAACTTACTGAATTATTGCATCCGTATGAAATTGCTCAAGCCAGATCTCCACTATCTGCACTAGTCTCAACATTCTTATCTTCCAAGCAAAAGAGCAGATCACTTACTTTTCAATATTGAAAGATTTTTCTACTTCAGAAGATCAAGGTTTTTCTACAATCTTTCCAAAATCATACGATCAGTTCTGAGAAATCAATATTTCACCCCTGGTACCAACTGCTGTCTTAATTACAGGTACTACTGCTGTATGAAACACCATGACTGCAATCAATTTAGGGAGGGAAGAGTTTATTTGGGTTACACGAACACATCATATTCTTTCATTGAAGGAAGTCCAGGCAGAAATTCAAACAGGGCAGGAAATAGGAAGTTGGAGTTGATGCAGAGGTCATGGAGAGTTAGTTTACTTGTTTAATGTCACGGTTTACTCAGTTTGCTTTTTAAAATGTGGGCTGGTGAGTGGAAAAGTTTTTATTTGCTCTTACAACTAGTATTGCATTATCTCTGAAGTCAGGGCAGGGGCTCCAGACAGGAACCTGAAGGCAAGAGAATATTTTGAGAGCATGGAGAAATTCTCCCAATGGTGATGGAGGTGGGTCTTGTAATAATAAAGAAACTGCCTCGGCCCTCATAGGACAGAAAATTAGGTAGGCGGAGTAGACAGAAGAGAATGCTGGGAGAAAGAAGCTTAGGAGGAGTCGCCATGATGCTCCCACTCCAGACAGACGCAGGTTAAGATCCTCTCTGGTAAGCCAACTCATGGGCTACACAGAATATTAGAAATGGGTTAGAACAATATGTAAGAGCTAGCCAATAAGAAACTGGACCTAGCCGGGCCAGGCAGTGTTTGAAAGAATACAGTTTCCGTGTAATTATTTCGGGCATAAGCTAGCCATGCGGGCGGCCGGGTGCCGGGGACGCAGCCCTGCCGCCGCTCCTATTTCAACAGATGGCGCCCAACGTGGGGCTAAATCCACTTAAAAACCTGAGAAGGCTTAAAAATAAGGGAGAGAGAGTTTAACACAGA